GGGCTGGAAGATGCTTCCAGAGTCCAGATCTTCATTTTTCCATTCCAAGGAAGGATTAAGTCTACCTACCGCTTTCCTGGTAGTTGTCTGAGTTGCTTTCAATGTTTGAGACTCCCAGTGGTTGTTGAGGCTTCACATACGTACTGATAGATTTCTCCTACTAGCAGAGTTTCATATTGGTAGTTTGTATCTGCTGCTGCTCTTCCTCATAAACACAGCAAAGATTGTCCCCTTTTCTCTCTGCATCATCCCTTTATGTCGTGGAAGTCTGTTATCATCAGTTCTTCTTAAGATGCTGTCTGCAGTGCACCAATCTTAATCAGGTAAATTGAAAACATTAGAGCCTCCTGGGTACCTGTTCTTATGCCAGAATTGACTTCAGAACTGATGGTACGTGGCCTTATTTATGCATGTATTTATTTTAATCCTGCTTAAACTCATCACGCTACAAGTCTTTGTTCACTCTCTTGCCTGTTTGATCCCACTCCAAATGTTTATGCTCATACTTAACTGTAAGTTGTCAACTCCTTAAAGCAAGACTCTGTCATCCTTAATGTCTGCAAAGCTCCTGAGTGACTCTTCATAAATAATCTGCTGTGCTTCTCTCCATTGCAGCTAGACCTGGGTTAGAAAGATACAGAGATGCTCTCAGTTCCTGCCTGTCAAGTTTTTATGCGCTGCACGGGGGTCATACCAAAGCACCTCTGCAGCAAGGATCTGAAGCAGCAGAAACAGAGCTGGATTATGTTAATCTTATTGTTACGGTTTCTCAACAAGAAGGTAGCTAATCACTGTGGTTCAGCCAGGCTGCAGAAAGGGGTTGTTGCATTTTAAAGCTATGAATGACCGTGTGATTGCCTTGTAACTCAGGCTAGAAGTTTAGCCTCTGCTTACTTCATCTAGTGCATTTTCTGTAATTTAAGTGAGAAGCTACTGAAATTAGAGTTTAGCTTTATTCTGCCTTTATGCTCACCCCTTCTATACTTTTGTGTTATTTTTGTGAATCTGACCTCACAAAATTGCTCGTGAAATAGTACCCCCTCATTTGCAAATGACGAAGCAAAGGCATGTGAAATTACTTAAGCAATTGTAGTTCATATGTGGCAGATCTGAGGCAGTACAGTAGATTTTTTGATTCCCCTATTCTAAGCTCCAGGTGTTAAGAAAGAAAGACTTGGAGTCTGAAGAGGAGGGAAACTTCACTGAATTAATCCAAGCTGCTTCTCTTGCTTATGTACTGGCACCCTTTGTCTTTGCTGATTGGTTATATCTCTCTTTTCCTCACAGAGTAACATGTGGATGCAGGGTTTTTTTTTCTTTTTGGATTTAAATCTCCAGAGATATTTGGGGTTCAGACTCATTTGATTTCATGAAGTGTCTAAATACTTTCCACTTTGGGCTTCTACTGTTGCCAGTTTTCACAATGTGATGCGAATTGTTTATATAATGGACCATAATCCCCTATTTTTTTTCTTCACTAAATAAGTGTGGCTGAAAGGTGCTCTGGGAGTATTATGCCTTAGAGATGCATTCCAGATCCTGCAGGAATTGAGGGAACCAGGATTTCACTCCGTATGTTTAGTGTACTAACTTAAAGATTAAATCAGCATTGTGTGTCTTAAGTGAAGAAAGCAGGCAGAAAAAAAAAACAAAAAAACCAACACACACACAAAAAAAAACACCAACAAAAAAAAACAACCCACCAAAACAGTTGTACTTAGAGTGCTCTATGTGTTACAAATGATTTTCCATACATTTAACTAATTGCATAAACAGATGATATTTACAGGGGACTGCTGGCTATAATTGACCTTCATCTTTTCCTGTGCACTTCCCAGTCTCTCCTTGAATTTTCCTGTTTCCTCTTAATCATTCTCCACTTAACACCGTGTTTCACCATGTTTCAAACAGTCCTTTTCTCCTGCTAGGGACCATCCTACCAATGCCCTAGAGGCCAGTATTCCCAACTCTTATTAACTTCATTTTCTCAGCCTGATTTTGTGCACAGTTTCGGAGCTCATGGCGTGGACAGACATACTTCCTCCAAAGCCCAATCTTCAGGCTTCCCACCGGTTATAGCACGATTGCTCTTTTCCTTTTACGTGATCATCAGTTCTTTGGAGCAGGAGTGTTTGTTTCTGTCTTTTACCTTGCGTAAGGAATTGCTTTTCAGAAGCTGCAGCCACACAGTACACGTTTACATATGTGTATCTTATTTTTCTTTGAAACTTTTATACGTGTGTGTTAAGGCAAGCAGGGGCGGGGGGGGGAAATTGCATAAACTGTGAGTCTCCTGGCGAGAGGTTAGAGCAAACCCATGTTTAGAGTTCAACAGTGTTCCCATGGCTACTAGGACAGGTACATCACGGGAGGGGGAACATTTCTGGCATTTAACAGCCTTTCCAGGTGATTTATGGTTTCACATAAGCTTTTCCTAAACTGAGAGGTTTTCTAGGGTTGGCACCTCTTTGCTTGTCTCCATGCCCTGTTAGTTCTGTGTTCAGTGGCCCATGGTTATTAAAATTCTTATCAATAAAGGAGTTTCTGAGCAAGGTTCTTATTTTCTGGGATCACGCATACCTTCTGAACTCAGCTTAACCAAAAGAACATTTATTTTTTTTTTATGCCTAATGTATTTTATAAAAGAAATGTGTGGAGTTCACGTAATATTTGCCTTCAATTACAGTAATTAAGTTGTCAGGACTTGAAGTCACCAAGGGAATGAGAAAATCCTCTCCTGGTTGGCCAGGGTCTGGTCACAAGTGCGTTTTACATATGGGGGTGGGGAGGGAAACTGTTCTGCCTGGCATCTGCACCAGAAAACCTGGGAGGCTGTTTGTCACTTTGCAATACAAGGTGTCAAAATCCTGCTGTGGGTAGAAGGAAAAGGAAAAAAGAAAGTGACCTGGTTAACTCTGCTTTAGCAGGGCATCTATTTTTGCTCCACACTAACGCTGCTTGCTTAGGTTGGGAGGTGTATCATTAAAAAGAGAACGACTACAAGCGTAGCTCAATCCATTTAATCTGTGGATTCTGCCTTGTCAAACTTCTGCTGTGGCTCCTCTCTCAAATGTAACCTCTGTGTATAGAAGTGTGTAGACACATGGTTTTTTTTTTCCCACCCCCCCCCTCCATGTTCAACATCTCTTTGCAAACATCTTTGCCAGAAGTCGAATAGTTTTAAGTTACTTCATAAACTTCACCTGAAGACACACTGTGAGGTATTCCTGCAAGAAAAGTACCTAATTTTTATAAGTGCCCACACAAACATTACTGGAATCTCAAGTGTAGCGTTACTTTGGTTCCACTGGAATAGCTCTCTTGAAAGCAGATGGATGAGGAAATCGCTACTCGTAATGCATCACTAATGACACAAATTTTTGCATTCCTGCTCGTGTGAGTAAAGGTTGTGGACGCATAAGGAGTCAGACCTGCAAAACCTTACTCGCAAACCCTAATAAACCCCACTTCAGCTAGCAAGTTTAATGATGCCCTGAAGAGAGCCAGATCATTTCTCTCCACCATCGTGCAATAAGTATGAAGGGTTGAGATAAGTGGGTTTATATCTCCCAGTTTGCTACTGGCCTTCACCCTGTGTGTTGTTTTATGCCACTGAAAATGCGTGTGAAATGTTACTGCTCTGATTTGGTTGCGTTTTATAGTCATTCAGTTAACATATAAGATACATGGGTAGAGTGGATGCTCTGATCTAGCTGTGTATTTATGACTGGAATAACAGTGAAGTGTCTCTTGTCATACTTGCCACACTTGACCATACTAGCTGTGGATTACCTCCTGTTCCAGAAGCGTACTGTAGGCCAGATGTTGGTAAGGATTCCACACAGTCCTTACCTGCTCAGCTTTTCCCATTCAGAGGGGTGTGCTTGGTTATCTGCAGTTTGTGTGAGGCTTAAAACAAACAAACAAAACCAAACCAAACAACAAAAAAACACACAAAAACCCCAACAACAACAACAACAAAAAACCACCAAGAAACAAACAAGGGAAAAGTTGGGACATTTCCAAAAATCATTTGTGACTTTTGCCGAGCAGAAGGATATGGCACGAAGTATCCATTGTAAAGGAGTTTGAATTTCACCTGCCTTTTGGGGTTGTTTTTTTTTTTAAGTCACAGATCGCTTAACAAGTTATGTATTTTCATCTTGTTGCATTTTTTTGCTTTTCCAGAGTCAGTTCTCTTCATGCCATACATAACATCCAGCTCCAGACCTATACCTTGCTTTTTTTGTTTTATATTTACATTCTAGATACTACACTCTTTTTTTATAGATACTCACCTGCAGCTAGAGTTCAGCACCTATTTATTTTGTGTATGCAGAAGCCTTGTAAGATCTAACCTGTGATGTTGTTTTTGCCATCTGATAACATATGATCAAATGGAGCATGTTTAAATAACAACATCTAGGACACAATGACAGTAAACCAGCTACGAAACAAACATTTCTAAAGATCAGATAAGATGGGAGAGATGCATCTATGCTGGATTGCTCTGTATATCATAAGTTCTTGCACTTTGCTGTAGAGGTATTCCAGGCATGGGATTTCCTTTATGCCACAGGCTAATAGGTTGTGCTGTATTATTTTTCATGTTGCTTTATATCTTGTAGAGACATGTGCCTTTGCCAAGTGAGTGTAATATACTGAGTGTGATAGTATTATACATAACCTGCATGAGTTGCACCGGAGTAGGTAAACAGTAAGAAATTCAAAACAACAGGGAATTGTCTTGTTCTATATTCTCTTGCTGCCTTCTGTACTGCCACCTCCCTAAACCTGCTCTGATTTTTGGCATTAAGGGCTGCTTGTCACTTCTTTCCAAGTCCGTACTTTAGCAATTCATTTTCAAAGCACCATCTTGATTTTTAATATTTTTTTTATCGGTCTGAAAAAAAACAAAAAAAAACAAACAAAAAACTCAGTGTTACGTTTGAACCCATTATTTCTGACTCTTACCCCTGCTCCTCTTTGTTCACCTGCAGGAGGATATTACCGATCCTGAGTCTCGGGAAGAGCAGAAGAAAAATCACTGGCTATCTGAGCCTGCAGATGGTTACAATACAGTAAAGAGCGTTCTCACTGTACAGGAATATTTTGCCAAGCGCATGGCAAAACTAAAGGGAGCCCAGAATGAAGCAGAAACCAAGGTAGGCAATTCCTGCCCAACAGCTGACAAAACTTTAGAGCCTTCAGAAGAACTGAAAACCAAAGTTAAAAAGGAAAAGAAGAAGAAGAAGAAGAGAGATGAGGCGGAGAGTACAGAGCACTGTGAGAAACCAAAAGTGAAACAAGCTAAGGTAGGTAGCTTTAATGGAAAGGAACTGGATGTTCCGTTAAATGAATGTCACTCAGGGAAGAAGAAAAGGAAACATAAAGAGCAGCGTGAAGAGGAAAGCATTAGCTGTGATGAAAACATGGGCAATGGAGAAATCCATACGGGAGTATCTGATGGAGAAGATGTCAGTGTGAAGGACTCTGAGGCAAAGCAAAAGAAACGCCACAAGAAAAAACACAAAAAGCAAAAAGAGGAGACAGATGAGTGTATGGAAGGAGTGCAGAGAAAGAAAAAGAAGCACCGAAACCACATTTAACCATTTAAGAGTCGAGCTGGGACTCTGAGGTGGTTTAAAGTTCAGCATGTTAAAGAAGGCTGTGCAAACCCACCAGCCAGACATCACATTGTAATCCAGCCCTGAGCACGCTGCTCTACCTCCATCTGAAACCACAGACTGTGTTTAAATACAACTCTTTCAAGGGAGAACATGGTGACAGGCCAGCGGGAGCATCAGTGCCGCGTTAAAAAAGGCATCCACGTGTAGGGCGAAGGCTTGCCCATCTGCAAAGCAAGGCTTGGTAAAAACCGGTTGGGATTTGCCTCTTGCAGTGTGGCAGATGGTTCACCTTAGTAGCTTTGCAAGAGCTCTTTGAACCCAGCAGACCCTTTGCTGCCTTCAGCCCAGACCCACTCTGGTGCAGCTCCATTCAGGTTGGATAATAGCACGCGAAATCAGGCCTGGTTTGAACCGCTGTGGTTAAGACTGTGAGAGGTAGTTACTGCTGCTTCACACCGACTGTGTTTTTTCTCAATCCAGGGGGGAAAATAAAAAAAGTCACCCTACTACTGCCTTTATTATTAAATAATAATTTTCACTTGTGATAGCCCAGCTCTCCTTCTCAAAACAGGAAGAGTTTTGCAAAACTGTGCGTATTATTTTTCACCGATTTTTGCGAAGTTGTGTCTCATTTTTTCACTGATCTCCTTTTAGATATAAAACAAATGTTATTTCTTCCCAAAGTACTTTTTCTAAAGGTTTACACCTGAGTGTCAGTACTAAAGAATGAAATAAAAATACCTCTGTTTCCTAGCCAGTTGTTAACTCTTGTCAAACCTTTGTAACTCCGCAGCAAAGCTGAAGGAGCTGTGCCTTTATTAACCGTATCTAAATCTTTGGTTCCCAGCAACATTCAGGGTACTGTCAGTGATGCATCTGGCATTCAGGAAGTCGTCTTGAATAAAGCAAGGGTTTTTCTCTGAAATTAGGAAGCCACATGGATTTTAAAAGCATAGCTGGTCAGGTGCATGAGTACTGCCACTTAGACGCTAAAAACTTGCAATTTAGATTTATAACCAAATTAGAGCTTGTTTCTAGTTGTAAACGTGGAAGTAAGTAATGCTGGAACTCAGCACTACCATAAGCAGTTCTGTATGAGATCTTAAAGAGTCAGCATGAATTTTGACATGTTAATCTCACTCAGCTAAGAGCTGTCAGAAGAGATGGGTGAGCTTGGAAGTAAAGTGGTGGAATGGGAAGAAGCATTCGCCACCCTGGAGTCCGGTTCTGATATCGCTTTGGCCGCAGCAAACTGAGAGCACAGGGCTGAGAGCAGCCAGCTGTCGTGGCATAACCCAGAGCAGCTGACCAGAATTCAAATCCGTGAGCTGTTCCTTTGACTTTGGGCCTGGCTGTGTTTCATCGGTGTAAATCGAAAACATCCCATTGGCCTGCTCTGCTGAATGAAATGGGTACATATTTTTATTGTCTTAGCTCACTTGAGTTTGCCTAACGTGGTTTTGAAAACATTGTCAAGATGCAGATGTTAATATGAAAAAATCTCCTTAAGCTGCCTTTATTGTCCAGTGGAAGAAACTTAGGCTGAAGCACGCGGCTTCAGATGATTTAGTTGCAGCTCAACTCTTCAAGAGATGTTGGTTTACAATGCACCTTTCTTGCCCTCAGGACATGCTCATTCATTGCAGCAAAATTATTGTAGTTTTACTTATTGTAAGGGAGAACAAGATGCCTTTCTCTTGTGTTTCCCTGCTGGCATGCCAGTAGTTTTTTTAACCCTTGTAGCCTTGCTTTTCAGTGCTATACAAATATCAGCCATTATGAAGCTGCTATGGCTGGGCTTCTTCCCTGCCTTCCTTAAATGAAATACCACTTAATACCATGAGGCTGCTGTAGAGTTGTGAGTAAGCTTCATGCTTGAGGTGAAAAAAATAATCTTCTCAGTGGAAGAAGACTGCAAAATAAATTTTTGGTGTTACATTGAAGCATCCTAAGTTTTGTGGATCCCCTGCAAAGCAGCCTCCCTGTTTTCTTAACTCACCACAAGTTTGGATTTTTGTTTGTTAGTAGAAGCCAAAAAGCCAGTTTACAGTGGGGTTTTTTAACTCTTGAGCAGCTAAGCTTTACAGTCTCTCTGGGATCTCAATTTAAAAAGGTGCTAGTCAAGGAATAAAGTTTCCTTCTCCAAATACTGCTGGGCTTGTTTGTTTATTCTCTGTGCTAATCTTCCATGAGTTTCTGTGTGCTAATTCTTCTGAGTGTTTGGCCAGATTCCAGTGTTAGTTATAGAAAGAATAAAACCAGGAATACATTTTTTAATTTGTGGTGTTACTACAGCTAAGTACAGTCTACCAAAGATTTAAATCTGGCTCAGATTGAAATATCAGCTACAAGTAGAAGATTCTCTACTTGTACAAGAAGAAATGGGAATTTCACTTTATCACAGGAAATGTGGGATTTTAATGTGCCTCAAGCTCAAAGAGAAATTGCATGTGCAGAATATGGGTTGGAGGAGGGAAAACAAAAAAAAAATCATAACAGACTAGTATTTGAAACAAGCAATTCGTTTAGCTGTGCTCTGTGTGTGTTAGTGGTCAGCCAACTCTGCATTACTCAACAAAAATCTCTTCTTACCAGATACTGTCTGGTGGAATGGATGATTGAAACAACAGGAACATGTTTCAAAGTAACTGTGTTTTTTTTCTTTTATTTGTTTATAGCGGGTTGTGAGTCCAGTTTTAACCAAACTCTGGTTTGGCAAGAAGGTCTTTTTTAGAAAGCATAAGAAAAAGAATTACATCATTACCCAAATGGTGAAATTATCAGAATGTAAGCACAAAGAAATTACATGGTTTCATTTCTGTGAAAATACAACTTTAAAATAGTCATATATATTTGTTATATGTGTCCGTTGTTGTATATTTGTCCGTTGTACTCGCATACCGCAGCACAAAATGATGTACCTCCAAGTGACATTACCTACAAACTGAGTAAAATGAGAGTCACCGCTCTGCTTTCACTTCCAAACCGAGAATGATGCGCACAGAGCATGGATATTAAAACGTTTTCCATTTTAGTAATCCCAGGTCATTAGTGACATAGAAGAAAATTTTCCCTTTTTCCGGCAGGAGCCTTACACAGATGATGGTTCCTTGTGAGTTACTTCCCTTTTTCGCAGGTACACCGGTGTTCTTTGCTTTGAGCCCTCAAATTAACTCTTGGTGCAAAGGCTCCGTGATTTGCAATTGCAGTTTTACGAACAGCAATATATATGCTGGCTTTTGTGCTTGTAAATACCTGCGAGCACAAAACTGTATCCTGGAAAGTAGAAGCTACGGAAAAGGAGACCATTACCAAAATTGGCCCAAAGTCCGCAGGGGGTTTGTGGGCTTCAGCTGTTCTGCTCGTGCTGTGTCCGACTGCAGAGCTTTCCTTAGAGCCTGGGGTGTGTGGAACAGGCACTGTTCCTTGGAATTTTTTTCTGAGATGTACTTAGCTCTAGCGCTTGACACACAACCAGTGTGTAGCAACAACCAGGGTTAATTTAAAGCATAGATGCGTGATGCTAGGAAGTCCAAGTTTCAAGACAACCCGTTAAGATTTCCGAACCGCCTGTCCTTACATCTGTATGAATTTCAGCCCCTTAGATGGTGTCTGAGAGGCAGCTGCTTTGTGAAATTTAAGAAATGCATTTGGGGGACAGTTCAGCGTCGTGTTCAATTAATGCAGTTTGCCTTGAAGCAAAAGGCAGTTCTGGTGCTGACTTCTTTCAAATCATCAGCTCTTGGCAAAGTAAATCAGCTGAATGCACCAATGTAATTAACCAATTTTCTCCTGTTTAAACACACAAGACTGAAGTTCTTGAAGCATCCACCTTCAAAAGGCACAATTTACGTCACGAAACCTCCAAACCTGCCAGCACGAAGAGGAGGAAGGAAGCTCCAAGAAGAGAGGAAAACCACACAAAGTCAATTGGAAACACTGCATAGCATCAAGCCGATCTTCAAAAAAAGATCTTACAATAGCGTGTCCTCAAACAGCGTGAGGATTGGTAGTATCTGAAGCAGTCCTTTGCTGAATTTTTCCTTTCTGGGCAGTATGAGCTTTGCCATGCAAAGGGTTATAAATCTCATCCACACGCTGTTAGCGGCCGAGGATCTGAGCTCACAGAGACTTGGACAATAACCAAGGCTCCGTACCTATCCCATGCAGGGATCAGCAAACTTTTGCTTGGATAAGCAAACATTTCAGTGATGTGGGAATGGTGAATAATGGTAAAAATAAAAACTTTTGTGGCGGCAGAAGTGGGAAGATTGTTCCAATGCCAAATTGAAGCTCGATTTCTCAGCAAGTCAGGACTCAAATTCTGCTTCTGAGTCACTCAAAATACTTTTTTTTTTTTCCCTTATCTTAATCCATTTTTATAATTTTTAAAGTGTAAGAGCAAAATTCTGCTTGCCCCTTTTTAATATTTATTTTATAGCCCTTAACCTGTGTTTTACAAATAGAGCAGAATTATTCAAGCACCACGAGTGCGTGTGCTGAAAATTTTAGCGCGCTTTTTTTTTTTTTTTTTTTTTTTTTTTTTTTAAA